GCTTGCCTGTGTTAGCAAACAGGAGACAAACAGGCAGAACTGGCCCCCACAAAGTGAGAGAGAGAAAAAATATGATTCATTCCCTCACTGAGAAAATTGCTCTTGTAAATCACAGAACTGAAACTTGGGAAAATTGAGTTGATTAGGTAAATACTTCCTGCTGACAGTGTTAACGGCCGTAAAATAGAGCTGAAGAAAAAAAAAACGCCATTAACCTAGAAAATCCTGATTCTCAGAAGAATGGATGATCATCTCAAATGGTTTAATTGTTCATAATGCTCTCTTTATTTATTTATTTTTTTATCGAGGCTACCATTGATCAGGGCTATGGGAAACCTGGCATGATTTCAGAGCGGTAAAAAGGAACAACCAAAGGCCAAGGGCAGAAGGTTCATTCAATACGGGGCAGGTTAGACGGACCGGAACTCTTCCATCGAGAGAAGAGAATGCCCCGAATTGATGATGGAGAATCCACGTGCTGGGAGAGGGGCGAGCAAAGGTTTCAGTTTTCTTTGAGGAGAGACAAACACACAGAAGTAGGCGTCAATGAAACACATAGGATTTACATGCAAAGTTCCTGCCACCAATGAGCGTTTGTCTAGTTTTCTTCCCTGGTTCTCCTGCGTAGGACAGATTCTCCTCAAACAGAAATGGTTTTATTCCAAAATACTCCCAAAGAAAGGGAAGGCCTACTAGCTGACCCTTCACAGACCTTTCCTACCGATGTGATTTAAAAATGCACTCGTTAATTCATGAACAGTTACTGAGCGAAGAATGCTTATATATTCTTGGGCCCTGAGCACTGTTCATAAATCTGAGGGTCCTGACGTGCAGTAAATAACGGTGTCCTCTGTCACATATTATCCCTCAGCTGCGAGGATCTTTGTCCTCCTGGCAAGCATGGTCCACAGTGTGAGCAGCGATGCCCTTGCCAAAATGGAGGAGTGTGTCATCATGTCACCGGCGAATGCTCTTGCCCTTCCGGCTGGATGGTAAGCTACTTCCCCCGCAGCGTCGCCTGCCCCACCATACGACCATGAATAGGCATGTAGAGATTATTAGTACAAGAAAGCTACACCAGATACGGTTAGCGACCCTACAACTGGGAGCAAACACCGGGTCATCTGAAAGCTGGACCGCCTCTGTCCAGAGAAGGCACAGGAGGATTGAATCCTACTTGAAGGGCAGTAAGGCTCCTTGTGGAAAAGAGAGTGGCCATCTGTCCTGCATTTCAGGAGCAAAAACGGGACATATCTAGATTGACACATGATAGCCTCTAGTGGAATGATTTAAATAATCATCTTCATAGTTGTGTTCCCTGGTCACACAAATCTGGAGTCACAATGAGGTGAAGGCAAATTTGCCAAGTCACAGAACTTCTCAGAGCCTTACCTGTGACAAGAGGGTGCTGGAACACATCATACTTCCCAAACTTGGACAGGTTGACCCTTTCTTCAAGAGGGATAGCACAGGTCTAGAGTTATGTGGACTGCATGATGTCAAAGCTAGCTTAGTAACTAAATAGGTTGGAATTAGAAAAGAACATCCATTATCGTTTCCATTGATGACGGCCAAGGTACACTTGAGGGCAAAGGAGTGGATGATCCAGTGTCTTCCTTGTCTCCTTTCCTTCACTAACGAGCTACTTGAAACAGCAGATCCCTTCATGGTCTCCTTCCGTCTCCAGTAACTGTAATGGAGCTCCCTTTGCAGATGGTACACCTGACTTCTTCATCGCCAAAGTCAGTGACTACGCTCCAGTTCTCATTATGTTCTTGTAAAGCTTTTGGCAATGCCGACCATCTGTCTCCCTTCTTCAAAAGAGAATCGATATTAAGCTCTTTGTCCTCCACTCCTCTAATGACACTCTCTCCTACCTCTCTGACTCCTAATGTGAAATCTCTTTTCTTGATATTCCTTCTTCTACACATCACTTAACTAGCAGTATTTCTTGGGTCAGTCTTCGGCTCTCTTCTCTTTTCTTGTCATATTATAAGGTCTCCCTGGGTGCTTTATCAAGATTCCTGGTCTTCACAGCAGCAGCTCACTTTTTGACGTCCAATCTTACCTGAGCCCAGACATGTATTTTTCAGTATCCTGTTAGATACTCCAACCCATAAAACTTTGAGGCATAAAACCACTGTCTTTTGGGCTCTCCCCAAACTTTACTCTCAGGACCTAGACATGGATGGCTCTTTGTTGTGTTCATGGAACCAAAGAGAATGGGGATCCACTGTCTGATGGGAGTCATGGGAACTGTGGAGATGAAAAGATGTGAGGATCACAAAGACAGGTGGAAAACAACGATCAGCTCTGAGGTTAATGATAGAAATGGTAAATGGGTAAGACAAAGTTCTATTCTAGAGGCAATGCCTGGAGAAATCCCTGAAAAAACAAAAGATGAGCCTTTTATTAAGTGCCCCAGGATGAGGCAAGCCAGGGAGCTATTGAATAATGAACTGGTTTCAGTAGGCCCATTAAATTCCATCTTAATCAGATCTATCTTGCTATATACACAGACCCTTCACAAGCCTACTCTTCTTCTACCTTAAAAGCAAAATGTAGCTAAAGCCAACACTGCTCTCTTGGTCATGGTAGAAGTGATGCATTATCTTGACTCCTTCTCAACTTTCAATTCCTATATTCTACAGTTGCCAACACAGCTTATTACTTAAACCTTGGCAAGGAAAGGAATTAGCTGGATTTGTAGATTGTCCCAAGAGATCTGAGTTCTTTGGATAGGGAGCTATAGACATACTACACCAAGGACTCATCTTGGGGTTGAAGCGTTTCTCATTTGGGATATTCTCGACACAGGGTAATGGTAGCCATAGACTTTGCCCATGAGCCTCAGTAAGGGGACAGATGGGCCATATCCACTCCTGCCCTCTTTTCTCTTTCTGCTCTTGTGCCACTACCTTGACAGATACTTCTTTGTAGATGCTTCAGGTTATGTCTTCTCTTGTGTGCCAACTGAGCTTTCGACTTACACGTCTACTTTACATTTTATTTTTTCTCTCATCCTAAGTGTTTTTCAAGGATGAAAACATCATTTTATGCCACCTACACAATCTCAGATGCATTTAAGGGAACAGAAATAATGTCCTATTAAAGCTGATTGCACATACATTCCTACAGCACCTCAGCCACTTCTGTGGGGTCACCACATTGTGCGAGTACTTGGAATGAGGCCTTGAGAGAGGGAGGATTTTCACCACACACATCCTAAGCACAGATGAGCATTAGCACGTGATCCCTTCCGTTGTGTTTTCATACTTCTTTAAGTATCATATGTTGTGCTAGAATGGATGGGTTGCAGGTATTTTTACTTCTGTTCCCTGACTATTTCAAGCACTAACTAAGGGTTGTGGCCACATCTTTGGTCTGCATGCTTGGGACTATGCCTGGAACTTAGCTGGCTTTCCATTAAGTCTGAATTTGAATCATCTCTCAAAGGTCTTTTTGGTTCCAAGAGTCTGAGGAAGAAATTCCCTCTGTTTGTAGATAACTAGGAACCACCAGAGGAAAGAGGAAACTTAATTAGCACACCAACTGCCTTTCGTGGCTAGCCAGGAGTTAGGGGGAATACATTTTCTTACGTTATCCACAATAAACATTTACAAAACCATCTGGTGTTCACTAGCCTCCAATTTCAGAGTGCCCACAGTCTGCCTTGATTTAGAGGGAGGACGAAACAACCGCTTCCAATGGATAAAAAACATGGAACAATTTGGGATATGCCAGTTTCTATAACATCTAAGCCCAATAAAAATAGTCAAAGGTAGAGACACAAGTTATATAGCCAAGGGAAGTAGAAAAATGTATCTTACTGAATTAGTGGTACAGTATTTTATTCTTTTCCACATAAAATTGGGATAAGTGTCATAATAGTGTCTGCAAAGATGGACAGCATCGAGGGTGGGGAAGCATGACCAAATAACTTTCTTGATTTTTATCCCCAGGAAATATGCTCTCCTATTGATCTTGGCTGAACAATGTTTGTTGACCCGTGGAAAGTAAAAGCACTTTTTTTTCTTAGATAATTCATTCTGTGTTGTATTTCTTAGGCAATGTCATTGTTAATTCAGGCACACAAAATCTCAGTCTAGTGTTCTGCTGCATTATAAGAAATAAAGCTAATGCTAATGTGTATTGTCTCTGGAACATATGGTAAAACATTTGGATATTCCGTTTGAGCCAGATGTTGCCAGTTCTGTAACGGATGCTCAATAAGTATTGTTGACTTATTATACATGTAAGACACAAGGAAGAACACTTAGGGGGATTTATAAATTCCTTAAGTTACCATAATGATCCCATGTAACTTTATGCCTCTATTTTTAATTGCTATACTTCTGAAGATTGCGATTTTGTCTTCTTGGAATCTATCTTGAGATATAGGCTTGCTAAGTAAAAATTCACCATTTTTAAGATACACAGAAGTCCTCTTAACCTGATTTTCTTGGAGTCTTGTTCCCATACCCTCCGCTCCTTTCAGTTTCCTCTCTATTCTTCCCCCTCCTCGAGCCCTTTCTTGGCTGGAAGCCCATCTAATTTCCCAAGTCTCTTTGAATGCAGGGCACAGTGTGTGGTCAGCCTTGCCCTGAGGGTCGCTTTGGAAAGAACTGTTCCCAAGAATGCCAGTGCCATAATGGAGGGACGTGTGAAGCTGCCACAGGCCAATGTCACTGCAGTCCAGGACACACAGGGGGACGGTAAGGGCATGCTTGTGTTTCTCTGGGAGTTCGTAAAAGACATAAAAGGAACGTCGGAGGGCCCAGGAAACACATTTGACATCTGTATTTGTGATGGTTTATTCCACAGCAGCGGTTCTCAACCTTCCTCATGCCCCAACCCTTTAATCCAGTTCCTTGTGTTCTGGGGACCCCTGAAACCATAAAATGATTTTCACTGCTACTTCACACAACTGTAATTTTGCTACTGTTATGATTCAGGTGACCCCTGTGAAAAGGTCGTTCGACCCCCAAAGGGGTCAGGACCCACAGGTTGAGAACCACTGTTCCAGCGTCATCTCCTATCTGTGGGACATCAGTGTGGGTGACCAATTTCATTCCAACTCAATGCACGAAAATGAAATCCTAGGCAGCAGTGGAAAGGATTATTAGATAAATAAATGAACCTGAAACAGCAACTGTTCAGAAGCTATGGTGAATGAATCATTCTACATAATTGAGTGTTTAGGGTGCCCACTTCAAGTATTCAACGTTTTTCTCCAGTTAGACTTGGAATTCTTTGTATGACCTTCCTCTCTTTCTTTCTCTCCCTCTCTCTCTTTTTGTGTGTGTGTCCATCTATACAAGTATACAAGATAAGCAGGGTAAGCAATCCCAAAGAGAGAGCGATGGCTGACTGAGAGTCTTCAGGGGGTAGATGGAAGGAGAGGAGTGGGGGGAGGTGAGCACTGAGCCAATAATGACAGGGACAGGAAATAGCAAGGCT